CCCGCTCCAGAACCTTGCCCAGAAAGGGGAGGTTGGAAATTGGTCTGTAATTGTTACATAGTCGGGTCAAGGGTGGTCTTCTTTCACAGAGGTTTTACCATCGCCTGCTTAAGGCAGATCGGGAATTTACCCTGGCCCAATGAGGTGTTTATTATTGCCACAAACCATTCCAATAACCCCTCTCTGGCCAGTCACTAGGGGGCTCCCCAACCTCAGAAGGTCGAAGGAGCTCCCCACAACCCGGAACAACTCTGATGGCCTATTTGCCTTGGTGAACCAAGGAGTTGGTGTGACTCTATGCAACGAGAGGGGACGTTCGGGAGCGATTGTGTCAATCACCCTGGTAATCTCATTATTATAGCGATCAACAAGGGTGTCGACAGGATCGTCGGTCTCCAGGACAGGAAGATCCCCAAGAGACCTCAGAAGTCCTTCTAGATCCATCAGCCTCCTGGGGCGGACCATCTTAATGGATCCACCACCCCTGCGGAGGTTAGAGGGCACGGCTAATCTTAGACAGATCAGATGATGGTCAGACCATGACAATGGTAGGATATTTTGCTCCTCCACTCTGACTGTCCCACCATCCACAATAAAAACAAGGTCCAACGTGTGTCCCAACATGTGTGGGGCCAGATATTACCTGAGTCAGCCCCATGGTCATCATGGCAACCATGAAATCCTGAGCTGTGCTTGTCAACGTGGCCTCAGCGTGGATATTAAAGTCTCCCAACAACACAAGTTGTTGGGAGGCCAGGGCCAAATTAGGTTTTGGTTTCAGTGTTTTCAAAATTGAGGTGCCTGTTAGATTCAATTTTATTTATTTATTTATTTATTTATTTTATTTTGGGTACTTTTACCCCGCCCTTCTCAACCCCCGAGGGGGGACTCAGGGCGGCTTACAAAAAAGGCACGATTCGATGCCTATACAAATTACACATAATGTACAAAACACCATAGTTAAAACAATTATCACAATTAAAACAATCAAACATCAATATACCACACATCATATAAACAATTCACATGCTCAGCGTAAGTCTTTCAGAGTTCTGATTTCCATTCCATTAGTCATTTCCTGTCCATTGTCAAAGTCCTTTCTTTATCTGCCTGACTGTCCGAATGCCTGGTCCCAAATCCAAGTTTTCAGTTTTTTCCTGAAGGAAAGGAGTGATGTCGCTGATCTGATTTCCCCGGGGAGCAAATTCCACAGGTGGGGGGCCGCCACTGAGAAGGCCCTGCTCCTCGTCCCCACCAACCTCACTTGTGATAGAGGCGGGGTCGAGAGCAGGGCCTCCCCAGAAGATGTTAGATTCCGGGGTGGGACGTAGAGGGAGATCCGTTCGGACAGATACACTGGGCCGGTGCCGTATAGGGTTTTGTAGGTGAAAACCAGCACTTTGAATTGTGCTTGGAACTGGATCGGCAGCCAGTGGAGCTGACACAACAGGGGGGTGGTATGCTCCCTGTATGATGCTCCGGTGAGCAATCTGGCTGCTTCTCGCTGGACTAGTTGGAGTTTCCGAACAGTCTTCAAAGGCAGCCCCACGTAGAGTGCGTTGCAGTAATCTAATCGGGATGTAACAAGAGCGTGGACCACCGTGGCCAGATCCGACTTCCCAAGGCACGGGCGCAGCTGGCGCACAAGTTTTAATTGTGCAAAAGCTCTCCCGGCTACCGCTGATACCTGGGATTCCAGGCTCAGCTATGAGTCCAGGATCACTCTCAAGCTGAACCAATTGAAAAGAATCCAACAAAACTGGATAAGCAGATGCTCGCATTACATCCCCAGAGACTGCTGTTAATATGTCGTCAAAACCTGACCGGATCCGCGCAATTTTATCTGCGAAGAACCCAGCAAATGCTTCACAGCGAGCCGAGTTATCAGGGGTCTCGCTTTTCGGTGGGTTTAACAGACCCCTGACAACTCGGAAAAGCTCAGCTGGACGATTCTTCGCAGATGCAATATTGGCTGCAATAAATGTTTTCTGTGCCGCCGCTATTGCCACTTCGTAGGACCTTAGAAAGGCATTCAGAAGTGTTTGGGCTGGATTGGTGGGGTTCTGGCGCCACACGCACTTTAGCCTCCCTTTCTTTCGCTTCATCGCTGCCAGGTCCTCAGTAAACCAAGAGGCTGGTTTAGCTCGGTTACTCGAGAGGGGGCGTTCCGGAGCGATTGTATCAATAGCCCTGGTCATCTCACTGTTCCAGCGGGAGACCAGAGCATCGACAGGATCGCTAGCCAAGGAGTCCTTGAGTTCATTAGACTCAAGGAAGTACACATAGTTGTACCTCTGTGAATCCCAGATGTCATATGCATCAGGTGTTGCCATTGCTGGCAGTTTAGGCAAGTGCATCTATCGGCCTTTTCAATATTACTCTTTGTGAGAGAGAGAAAAGGCAGGATACAAATAATAATAGTAATAACAAACATAACAACAACCACCCAGATTTCTCCATGAATTTGAAAATTCCCTGTTCCTTGTGTGTTAAAGGGAAGCATTTCTATGCATGTGAATGCAGCACCAGTATTCTGATATCTGCATTGACAGTATTTTAATGTAATGTAGCAGTGGGTGCCATATAACCCACAAGGGTTACCAGATGGTGAATTTGCTATCGCAGCTTAAGGAAGGAACGTTGAACAGGCCTTTGGGCATGGCTCTAAATACTTCACTATTCTTTACTGCTTCTGAGAGACAAAATTTCTCCATGTGGACTTTATTGACCTATCTTCCTATTGGATAATTGCCTGCTTCATTGAGGCTTCCAGGTCACAGGAGTTTTTGGCCAGCAAGTCTTCCAATCCAGATGCAAGCTGAGGGAGGGGGGCAGCAGGACATGCCATAATCCTGTTGAGAACCCTGCATTTGTCCATTTCCTGGCTAATTTGCATGGAAAACAATCTAGAATTGACAGAGAAAATAATCTGCCTTCTGCACACATCATGTGTCTTCTGTAGCAAGAACACATGCTTGCATGGCTAATAGTCTCTAGCCCACTAGTTCTCAACCTATGGCTATCCAGGCGCTTGGGACTTCACCACCAGAATTCCAGTGAACTGGCTGCTGGAAGTTGAAATCTGAACCATCTGGAGGACCAGAGATTGAGAACCACTGCTAAAGGCCAGATCCAGCACTGAGCGCAGAAACAAACCACTGATGTTGGGATCAACAGTTGAACCGAGGGAACTGTATTCTGCCCTGACTGTAGTTTCCAGACTGTCTTTGAGGCCTGGCCAATGTAGAACTCAGTAGTGCATTGGCTCGTGTATAAGTCTGCTTCATGTATAAGTCTAGAGTGCGTCTTGTGGCCAGAATTCTGGATTTTGATGTGCCTTGTGGATAAGTCTAGGGTTCTTCTGTAGAGAAGGGAAAGCGTACTAGTGCTGCCTGCGGAGGCTATCCATCCTTGGCCACTGCCAACATTTTCCCGCCTAGAGATTCCAAAAAAGCAAGACGTGGAGCCATGACAGAGAGAATAAAAGCAGTTGGCGCTTCTTTTAGCTTCTCTCAAGATAAAACTTTCACCTTTTCCCACTCTACACAGATAAGGGAATGGTTTCTTAATGCACAAGACTGATATTGTCCCATGGCTAAATGGCTCTCATTTTTTGGGATTGGTTTTCCATTGTGTTCTACATTGGATGGTGTGGCTTGGCTTATGTTCTACATTAAGCTGCTCTTGAAGAAAGTCTGGAAACATGGATTGACTTACTTGGGTCAATGCGAAAGCTTTTGTCTCCACTAAAAGAAGCACCAACCCCTTCTAGTCTCTCCATCATGGCTCCACTTCTGGCCTTTCCGAATGGAGGGGAAATGGCAGCTGGCGGCACTGGGGCTTTCTGTTCTCTGCAGAAGTGTCCCCGACCTATCAATGGCTCATATCAAAATCCATCATTTTGACCCCTAAACCAGCCCTCAACTTGTACAAGAAATAGATGTATACACCTGTGGATAAGTCGACCCTGTTTTCTTGGGGGGGGGGGGGGGGGGGGGGGGTGTTGGTTGGTTGTTGTTTTTTTACTACAATTTCAAGACTTGTATATGAGTAATTTCATCAGGCGATGGCTGGGACATATTGGCAGGAGGCCTGAGTCAAATCTCTCCAATGTTGTGAAACCTTGGGCACAGCTTTGCCTCTCGAAAGAACAACACGACTTGCACTCGCTTTTCTCAGACCTTCGGGATTAAAGCCCTTATGCAACTGGGGATCGGATTCCTCGGCAAAGGGCTGAAAGCTTTAGGCCAGATGCGCTGGGCTCCCGATAACCAGCTGCCTGTTTACCTTGTGGCACCACTGAGGGCTGTTGTTGCGCAAAACCCCGATTGTGTTTGACCCACTTCCGTGTTTTGATAGCAGGGGGATAAGGGAGCAGAGCTTTGCCGAACCGGAGGGGAAAGTCAATCCCTGAAGCCTCAGGGCAGCTCTTGGAAAGGAAACCCGAGCGACAAGTTCAACCGTAACAAGCTTCTTGGAGAGGCATGGGATACACACCAGTGTTCTCTTTAGCGCCCCCCCCCCCCCATTGCCTGGCCTTCTCTGGGTTTGTTGTGTATTTTTGAAGCGAATTGGCCTTGAGTTTTACTTTTGCTCAGTGTCATTTGCCCTGTGGATCTTTATGGCATCAAAAGGAAACGAACTGTGAAGGGGGGCTGATATGTAGGGAACGCGGTTGGCGTCCTGGCTGTGCTTATTAAGCGGTTGGCTCATATTTCCGTGTGTGTGGATGACCACCCCACCTCCCCTGAGGGCCGGCAAGCGGCAACTGCGCTCCTACCCGTCCGCCGAATTTCCCCTCACGCCGTTTTGGTGCCTCCCTCACGCCATTGGTCTAACCGTCTCCCCTCTCCCGCTCCTATTGGCTAGTCCGCCCAGTCCTGTCTTTTCTATTGGCGACCGCGCTCCACAGCAGTTGCTGAGCCGGCGCTCGGCCAATGAGGAAAAAAAGCGGGAGCCGAAACCCGACGCCGATTGGTTGGGGGCCGCGAGGAGGCGGGGGTTAGGCGAGCTGACTTTAAAGATGGCGGCCAAAAAACAGCGGCGCTGAAGAGGCGCCGCGAGGGGAAAAGGCGAGACGCAAATTCTGGCCGGGACTAAGGAGAGAAGGCGTGGGAAGGAGCGGGCTTCGGCGCTCATCCCATTCCCTTTTCTCCCTTGTACTGGCTGCAGCGAGGAAGAAGAGGAGGAGGAAGTCAGTGGCGAGGCCGGAAGGAGCGGCAGGGACGCGCCGGGCCTCGGGCAGGTGAGTGCGGGACCTCTGGGAGGTTAGCGGAAGCTCTACCTTCGCCCTCACTTCCGGTCGCCTTCGCGGGGAAGCTTTGTCTCTCGGGGTCTTTGAAGGAGAGGCTTCGCAGGCGCCTGAGGGGCCTCGGCGATGTCCGAGCGGGCAAGGCTCGGAAAAAGGGGAGACCGGCTTGATTTGCAGCCTTGTCGGGCCAGGGGGGGGGAGGGGGGCAGTCGCCTCGCGCGACCCTTTGGAATGCGCGCCCAAGCGGGAAAGCGCGTTTCCACTCGGCCAGAAAGGCTCCTTTTCCCCACGCGAGGGAAGGGTGCCGTGTCTCCTGGCAGAATCCTCCTGCTTGGAGGGTTGGCGTCCAAGTTGAGAGAAGAGGGGCTGGCGCACTCGCTCGCCTTCCCTTCCCCTTTGCAGAACACGAGCCGCCCCTTCAGGCCTCAGCTTTCCAAACATTTCCCCTTGGGGACACGCTTTTTAGATCTGCAGCATTGAAGTAACCCCGTAACACAGTTTGACTCGCAAACTGTGGAGGGTGAAGCAACTCCTTGTAAGAGACTCGGGGCAGGAATTGTAATCCCGAAATGTATGGGCAAACGCACAACATGTCTCATGAAAACCTTTCCATTTTATTTGTAATATATATGATATGCTTTGTAAGAGCATAACATCCGTTTCCAAGATTATCCAAGAGGAATATACTAGTGCAGGGCATCCTGTTGTTATTATTATTATTATTATTATCATCATTATTATTATCATTATTATTATCATTATTATCATCATCCACTCTCAACCCCTTTCTGCCCAGTAAACTTTTGTGTGAGCCCAAGTATATAAAAGAGGTATAACACTCAAATGTTTACTGATACAAAATCAGCATTTGCAGGCATGCTAAATTCCATGTTTCTCCTTTTTATGAAGTACAGCTGAAGCATTTTTTGCAGGGCCCACATTAAACACTTCACCTTTGTTGCTAACAGATTGGTGTAAATGGGTGAAATCTTTTCCTGTTGCCAAATTTTTCGTGGGCTTAGAGGACCCACAGTTGAAGAAGCAGCGTCCTAGTAATTGGCAGTTTTGCTGTGTAAAAAGGTGTACAAGTTGGTATTGCTTATTTCACATAGACTCGGACACACTTGCACACTACAACAGACTCACAATGACACACACAGTTTGGAAAGCTGTGCCCTAAAGGGTGTCAGGTGAACAGAGCCACCCCTCAGTCTCTTTCTCTCAAACAGTTCCTGTCTTTTGGGTCTTTTGGAGGCCATCTGTTAGGCAGGCCAAAGTTGCTAGGGTCGGATCCTCAAGGGAAACGCAAAACAAACAGGCTTGTGGTGTTTTAACTCCCAGATGGGGTAATGGGGAGTTTTTTTGCAGCAGAAAAGTTCATACGTGGGGTTGCCTTTGAAGACAGTCCGGAAGCTCCAGTTAGTCCAACGGGCGGCAGCCATGATTCTAACAGGAGCGGGGCAGGGAGCATACAACTCCCTTGCTGAACCAGCTCCACTGGCTGCCGATATGCTACCGGGCTCAATTCAAAGTGCTGGCGTTGGCCTTTAAAGCCCTAAACGGTTCTGGCCCAACTTATCTATCCGAACGTATCTCAGCCTATCAGCCCACCAGGACCCTAAGATCTTCCAGAGAGTCCCTTCTCTCTATCCCTCCAGCTTCAGAAGTGCGGCTGGCGGGAACGAGAGACAGGGCCTTCTCTGTGGTGGCCCCCCGGCTTTGGAACACCCTCCCTATAGAGGTACGATCAGCCTCTTCGCTGATGGTGTTTAGGAAGAGACTCAAAACATGGCTGTTCAAACAAGCATTCGGCTAATCTGTGGCAATTCGAATATTGATGACTAAGGACAGGAAACATGGACAACGAATTCTGGATTGCGATTTCAACTCGAGATATATGGGATTATTATTGGTGGCCCAATAATTTGTTATTGTATGTGTATATGTTTTTAAATTGTAGATTGTTTTTAATGCTGTAAACCGCAATGAGTCGCCGTTCCAGGCTGAGATATTAGCGGTATACAAGTGTACCAAATAAATAAATAAATAAATAAATAAATTGGCAAAGACCAACTGATAATAGTCATTTGGTTTTCAGTGTGATGATCATGTTACACTTTGTACAAAATTTGTGAAGTTCTGTGCTAGGTGATAAGGAACTTAGTTGTTTTTATTTGGGTTAAATTTATATTAACTGAAATCTGTATAGGTTATTTAAGTTTTATTGTTGATTATTTTGTTTGTTATTAAGTTTAGAGTTAGGTTGCTTTTATATTGTTCAGTATGGTTTGTCCTGAATGAATTTTGTTTGATCCCCCCCCCCCCCCCCACACACACACACACTTTTTTGGCATTGAATGTTTGCCATGCATGTTGGAAACTGCCCTGAGTCCCTTTGGGGAGATAGTGTGGTCTATAAATAATAATAATAATAATAATAATTATTATTATTATTACCTTTACCAACAGCATTTCTGTGACAAATCCTTGTATTTGTTAGCCACCTTGAGTCCCTATGTGGAGAAAGGCATGATAGAAATAAAGTTAATAAACAATAATAAATGAATATGTAATTTACAGATAGTTGGTATACTCTTAAAGGAATGCTCAAAATGTTTTGCAATATAATCAGAGAGAAATCATTTGTTCTTCACACTCAACTGGACTACTAAGAGGTACCTTTTGAAAGGTTCAATTTTCCTTAGAAAGGTGACGGGAGCTGGTTTTTAAAAGCACATTCTGCTATTATTGAAAAGAGTTTGGGACATTTTTGAATTGTCCGTAAAAGCTGCCCAAACTTCTCTGTTCTTGTAAACCAAACAATATCAAGTATGCCTTACAGTTCTCTTTTGTTTTCAATGGGATACATGCTTTTCTTGCGCTTTCTAGCTTCTTGTGTAATACCATTAAGGGATTCTTCTTAATTTTTTTTTATCAGTAAGAGTTGGTAACGGTTTTCTTTCCTTAGCTTAATTTCATTTTCCTGGGGTTTTGTTTTCTGTTTTCTAAACTTGTAAAAATTTCTCCAACCCTGTGCCCCATCACTTCATCTAGGAGCGAATACTGACCAGTCTTGCAGAAGCAGAGGTCTACCTTTCCACTGACAGTTTTGTCTAAAAATTCCCTACAAGAGGAATGTGGTATTCATATGTATGTGTGCGTTCAAGTTACCTTAGGTTTTTATAGGGATTTTTTAGGCAAAGAATCCTTTGAGATGATTTTGCCAGTTCCTTCTCCTGAAATATAGCCTACAGCAGGCCTCTTCAACCTGCGGCCCTCCAGCTGTTTGGGCCCCAAACTGCCAGAAGCCCTAGCAAGCTTGTCCAATGGCCAGAAATTCTGGGAGTTGTGGGCCCAAACAGCTGGAGGGCCACAGGTTTAGGATGCCTGTTCTGCAGCAACTGGTATTTGATGGTGTCTTCCTATTCTAGTACTAACCAGGGCTGACTCAGCTTAGCTTCCAAAATCAGGTGGGATTTGATGTCTTTCAGAATTTTAAATGTGTATTTCATAGTGTTGGAGGAATGACGTTAACTTTTTTGAGAATCATTCTGGCCCAAAACACCAGTTTTGTTGTAGTATGTGTTGCTTACTTTTGTTATGCAGGAAGTGCATGGCTGAAGTGTTGAACAGAGAATGTGTAGCATGTTCCTTCTGATGGAATCTTCTTCACAATTCTGGTTTAGCAGGGAAAGATCATTTGGTTCATTTTCCTTTTTATTCAGCCAACCATTCCTCTTTTCCACCAATGGCATTTTGTCTTTAAAAATAAGATTCAAATATCTTCCTGCTTTTTCAGGAGCATCTTGCGGACTGGTTGGTGGAGTGTTGGAAAATATATCTGCCTAAAGTTTACCAGTTGGTAAAGCAGCACCCCAGTTGGGAAAGATAGGAGTTGCTTGTTCTTGTGTACTATTAAAAGACATTTAAGATGTCTGTGGGCTTTCTTTTTCTAGAAACTGGTTTGGGGTGATGATGATCTATGCAGCTTTGTGATCCAGAGACCAGGACAGTCGCTTCTTGAAATATCATTATGGTTTTCTTTCAGAATGTGAATGTCAGGCCTACAACGTTATGTGACTCTCAAGGGTGAGGGAACTACTGGCTTACAGAACCTGTTTCTGTCTGTGCTCACAGCAATGTCAGCTCTGAATTTTGAGCAGTTGGCCTGACCCTTATATATTCTCTTTTCGTCTCCTCTTTGTACTTGGCCATGGAATTAGTCAATACTGTACTTTTATGCTAACCAAGGCCAATTTAAGTGCCGAGGAAAAGAAAAGAGTCGTACCATTATATTTAAATAGTATAACACCATGCAATTGATTAAACAACAACTGTAAACCTAGATGCACTTTCATGTCCAAACATTGTTTCATAGTAGGTAAATATATTTAGGAATGAATAATTGCATACTGACATGAACACTATGGTTCTTGCAGCTATCCCATGTTCGGCATGTTTATTATTTAACCAGAAAATCTTCTAGGCTACATGTTATGACTGCAAGAAACATTGGCGTTGCAGTGCTGTTCTCCTCAGCAGATGTATGCATTTAGTAATTGATTTTATCCAAGCTTTGTAAACATATTATACAATGTGTTTACAGGCATTCTTTACCATCTTTAACCTTTATGTTCACTGCAGAAAGTGTTGTTTATTTTATATTTATCGTGTCAGTATCAACCAGACAATTGTATTACATTTTTAACAAATTTTAACAAACAGAGAAAGTGTTGTTGATACATATGCACTCACGTTTCCTACAACAATTGTAATAATATTTAGTGGTGCACTTCACAGTCTGCATCTTTGTATTCCAGAAGATACAATGTAATGTGCAGAAAGTGTCATTATAGTATATCTCCCCACCCACGTCCTGCATCACATCTTAGATGGGCATTGGCAAGGTTGGGACTTTCCTTTTTCAGAAGAGTATTAGTTCTTTCCAACTTATGTAGAGGTCTTCTTCCAGTTACCCAAATGGATGTGGTGAGGGTTCTTGAATATTCCTTACTTCTTATAGCAGGAATATGAGAGCTTTTCCAGATTTCCATCCATCTGTTTATCTGCCTTCCTTTTTGTTCTAAATGAAAATGTGTTCGCAAGATACAAGTTGTATCTCTCGAAGTCCTCAGTTTTTCTGATGCATTCATGAGTTGAAAGTACAGTGGGGAGAAGGCTGCTTATCTTGAGGTGGAGGAGATGATGGTTGAATGTATTGTGTTTGGATGCATTTGATTCTCTTGAAATATTTAAAGGTATTATATACAGGCAGTCCCCAGGTTACAAACAAGATAGGTTCTTTAGGTTTGTTCTCAAGTTGAATTTGTTTGCAAGGTGGAACAGATACATTTTTGATGTAACTCCAGCCAATAGTAGTAGTAATAATAATAATAATAATAATAATAATAATAATAATAATACAACTATTTGTACCCCACCCTATCTCCCCGATGGGACTCTCATATATATATATATATATATATATATATATATATATATATATATATGGAGAGGGGGAGAGAGAGAGAGCGCTTTGGATAACATAGGGAAGGTGTAACACACCTGTGGTGTTCGTTTTGCTCTCTATGTCCGTGTTCAGAAGATTTAACCTCACTTTCTGTCCCTGTAATAATTGGATTTTGAAAAATTTGGCTTGTTGTTGAAACAAAGATGGGTGATAAAGCTTCAGTTAAGACACCTTTTCCTCATGATAACTCTTTTCAGGGGTGACTCTCCCTTCATAGGGGTAGATTTCTCTCACTTCTTGTTGTCTGACCCCTGTTCTTAACTATGAGTCATTTGTAAATTGGATGATTGTTACTCAGGAACTGTCTGTATACTACTTGGGAAAAGTTTGACTTAAGCCAGTCAATGCAGCTGCTTATGTGTAAAGAGGAGTTATTGCTTTATTATCCTGCTGGTAGGAGGACTGGGTATACATAGAGGGACTTGGTGAAAACAATTAGCAACAGGTAAGAAATTTCCATCTACCTCTACATGGTCATTGTTGATCAAATTGAAAAATTTGTGAAAATACGCATACTTGAGAAATTTTTGTGTTTACTATAGTTATCAACTGACAGTAAAATAATGTTTGGAATATGACAGATTTTTGGCAGGTTCTTTAGGATTAATACTGCTTTGTCTTGCGGGCTGTATCTAGTAAGATAAATGTCTTTGCTGGATGTCTCCCAGTCAGAGCAAGAAAAGGTCATTTATTTCTTTTGGTTGAGCAGATTATTGTAGTTCACGTATGCAAGGTCCCCTGTGACAAACACACTTAATGTGTTTTGCCATGCATACATTCTACAAAAAAAAAAAAAAAGATTGAGAATTTGTACATACCCTAGAATTAATACTTGTTGAAGTTATTTTTCAGATTGCCGTAGACTTGTTATTGAAGGGTCGTGCTTGATTTTAATTAAGAGTGCTTTTCAAAATTGGCATTTTCTGTATGTCAGTCGGTATTAGCTTTTCATAGCATAAGGAACAGTAAATGTGTCACAGAGCTGTTCGGCAATTTGTTGCTTAGATGGCAAGATGGTTTTGCATAACTGGTTAAAAATATTTATTCATTTTCATCCAATGACATTTAAAATCACTACTGTACTTAGAACATATTTCTAATTGTGATACAGTTTAACAGCCTGTAGGTAAAAGGTGTTCTTCTGAATGTTGTAGGTTAGAATTGCCGTATTTGTTCACAAACAAATCGGAAGTTAAAGCTTCTCCGTGACAACACATTTTTTTCTTCATAGGTTGAAAGAAGAAAAGGACACCTGCATTTGGCCAGTGAAGATGCGGTTTACTTCGATGCCAGCTATTTAAGCTGAATGCATTGTGATTTCCAGTAATTGAGACAGTGATTCTGAAAGCTGTCTACATTAATGAAAAGAACAATGTAGTCAGCTTAATTGAGTCATCAGTGTTGCAGATTGACAGACCCGATCCTGATGGACTTCTGCATGTTAGGAATAGATTTATTTGCCTTTAAGAAAATTAAATCCTTTTCTTTTGTAAGTTTTAATTATGGAGAGTTCTGAGATTGCACCTCCCCTTCCAAAAGAACCGGCAACAGAAGCGAATGTGGAGACTCCCTCTTGTCCCCCACCACTGCCTCCTAATGAACAGCCTCCACCACCTCCCCTGCAAACGTCCAGTGACGCAGAGGTAATGGACGTTGGCTCTGGTGGTGATGGACAGTCAGATAACCCTGCTGAGGACGTGCACACTGCCGGCGGAACACAGCTTCTCACAAAGGGATCTTCCTGTTACAAGAGTAGTCTTCTCATAGAACCTAATAGTGACCAAAGCCCAAGAACGGCTCGCCATGCGCCTTCAGTTAGAAAATTCACCCCAGATCTTAAGTTGCTTAAAGATGTAAAGATCAGTGTTAGCTTTACAGAGAGCTGCAAAAGTAAAGACAGAAAAGTTTTGTACACTGGAGCTGAGCAGGATTATGAGGCAGATTCAGATTTAGGTGTCAATAATATTAATGGGGATATGCATGCTTGTCCTCTTGCTGGGGAAAGTGATTGCCAGGCGGTTTGTTTAGCTGGTGAAAATGAGGACAAAAAGGAGGAGGACAATGAGGTAGATCAGGAAAAGAGAGTGGAGTATGCAGTTCTGGATGATTTAGAAGATTTTACTGAGAATTTGATGGAAATAGATGAAGAAGGAGGGTTTACATCTAAAGCAATCATTCAGAGAGACAAAGTGGATGAAGAAACTTTAAACTATTCATATGAGGTAAGTACATTTCTATTTTGAATTTTATGGGCAGTTGAAAACTACAGAATGTGTCTTGTGTTAACTGTCTATGGAGTAAAATATTTGAGGGACTTGGGAATCAGTTTTGTGGATTTGGGGCTCAACCATTTAAAAGAGATTTTAAAAAAAGAATGCCAATAATGCCTTGTCTTCAATGTTGGTTTTATTCCTCTACTTTCTACCAATCATCACTTGACAGTATGCCAGATTTATTGTTAGTGCTTTATGTGTAAATCAGTCTTGCTTATCAGCTTCATCTGAGAGGAATAGCTATAGGGGCATGGTGTCTGATAATGTGTTTTTCAGGATGAATTTGATAATGATGTGGATGCTCTGCTGGAAGAGGGCCTCTGTGTTCCCAAAAAGAGGAGAATTGATGAGAAATACGGAGCAGAGAGTGATCATCAGTCTGATGGAGAAACAAGTGTGCAGCCAATGATGACCAAAATTAAAACTGTCCTTAAAGGTAAGTTACATTATTATGTTTGTGACATTGTACATAGACATGTTTGCAGTTAATGATGTGGACATTCAATAAGGGCTCTGGGATTCTTCATAAATGTTGTTGTGACCTGCTGTACCTGTCAGGCATAGCCCTCCCACCCCCCTTCTTCATAGGTATTTTCATTTCATGCATTAAAAGAGAATTCAAAATTAGGTTTACAATTTATTATTTCATTTTATTTGGACTGCAACTTCTCGTAGACGGAGGCAGGGTGTGTTCATTATATTGAGGAGAGAAATGGAGAATGTTCAGGTCACATATCTCAAATTTGGAATGTCTCCACAAGATCTTTTCTTCTCTATGAAATCTTCCATGCAATATGTTCATGCATTTTGAAACTTGAATAGCAACAGGGTCCTTCAAAAGTGTCAGGGTTTTTGAAGGGGTGTGTGTGTGTATTTTGATATTCTGACAATTTTAGAAAGGTTTCTAGTAATTATTTGAAGCCTTGTTCAGTAAATAGTCTCATTTTCTTTTAAAGGTCGTGGCCGCCCCCCAACGGAGCCCTTGCCTGATGGATGGATCATGACATTCCATAACTCAGGCATTCCTGTATATCTCCACAGAGAATCCAGAGTAGTTACCTGGTCCAGACCTTATTTCTTGGGAACGGGAAGCATCAGGGTATGGATCGGACTTCCGTAATCTTGGAAATTTATTACATTTTCAATGTTTCTACAGGTGTTTATTTTTTTGGTGGTGGTCTAAAACTATCACTGTTGCTCATGGAGAATTGATGAATTCTTTGTTCAAAGGCCAGATCTAATTTTATTTAGAATATTAATTTGTGTCTGTGATTGAATAGACCACATCAGCTCTAGTTTCTTTGATATGGTTATCGTTGTTTTCTATGGGCAAGCAGATGGTGACTGGTAGATGGCATATGATCTGTATCTCACAAACTAGAGTTGATGGTGTGAAACTGGTGCCATTTTTGGAATCAGGAGGTCAAATATACCCAGAAACAGGCATAACCTTTGAGGCACCAAAATGTGTACTGGCTAGAGTAAGACATGTCAGAAGGAACCCTTAGACAACCAGGTATATCTTTTTTCACATTTTTCACATAGTGAAGCTATTGAAAAATCTCATTTCTGGACCCTCACTAGTAAACATTAGGACATACATATGGTACACTTTGATCATCTTTGAAAATGACTTCATTTAGGTTTGTAATCTTGTTCTCATATTTTAACATGTAATCTTATACTTGCAGAAACATGATCCTCCTCTGAGTAGCATTCCTTGTTTGCATTATAAGAAAATGAAAGAAAACGAGGAAAGGGAACAAAGCAATGACATCACGCCAAATGGGGAAGTATCGCCTGTTAAGCTATTGGATAAGTCTTTGGAAGTGGACTGCCAGGCAGAGGAACCAGACTCCACGGCTGCTGATTCTGGGAATTTAGAAGAGAGAGAGACTTCGGCAGGAGATGCAGCACAAGGAGCTTTAGGTCAAGTGAAGGCCAAAGTTGAAGTGTGCAAAGATGAATCAGTAGGTAAGTGTTGAAATCGGTAGTTTGGGGGTTCTGAAAATCTGCAGCTACATATGTGATGGAAGCTAGAAAACCTGTGAACTGGATGGCTTTAATACTATATGATACCTAGAAAGTATCCCATAATTCAAGCCCTATTGAGTATAGATTGTTTATTTAATTTTTGAGCTTTCAGCCAGTATGTGATTTTTTTAGTGTACCATCTGTTCAGTATTATCATTGCATTGTTGGGACTTGATATATATTGTAAAGAAACAGGTTGCCTACTTTTTTTCTCCTATCCAAACTATGGCACACATAATCTTTTCTGTGAGTTACAGCTCTGTATGTGTTAAATAGCAGTCAACTCTCATTTCAGACTTCATTGAATCCATGTCTAACTAAATGAAAATGCTAGCTTTTTAGACACATGTGAAATAACCAGGGGGCGGCCGGGATTATTCCTTCTAGATCTTGAAGATTTTAGACACTACCTTGAAAAACGCTTTGATTTTGAACAAGTAACTGTAAAGAAGTTCCGAACCTGGGCTGAGAGACGACAGTTCAATCGTGAGATGAAGAGGAAACAGGCAGAATCTGAGCGACCCATTTTACCAGCCAATCAAAAGCTTATTACCTTGTCTGTACAGGACGCACCCACCAAGAAAGGTAGGCATTTTTACTATAATCGTTTTAGAATTCCTAACTATATAATGTTTGGTTTTTTTAATTGAAAAAGTGTAATCAGGTTTGGTCATATTTTTCTTTCTCCTGTCCCAGAGTTACAAATTATAGCATTACAGTAGTCGGTTTTCTTTAGCTTCAATGGAAGAATGTGACTATCACACCAGTATGAATCTTGTTTTGTCTATACTTCTGCTTCCTATTGTAATGAAGAGCTGGTTTCAGATAGGATACAGAGCTCTCTAAAGTTACCATTGGGGTTTTTTCCCTTATGCTGTCTTTTACATGCTTAAGGGAAAACACAAAGCCTCCACCACCTCCCCTGCAGGTTGTATGCTTGTTGGATATGTATCATGTTTCAGGTCCGTAGGGCAGAACTAAACAATTTGATGCCTGCTAGCTGTTTTGGGTTACATCATCCTTTATTATGAGCCCTGATGACTATGAGTTATCAAATCTGGAGTAAAAAAAACAAAACCAAACCAAACAAAACCCAAAATAGGATGTTAGTGTCTTGGTGATGTTGGAAAGGGAGGGCACCCATACCTACCCCATCCATTAGTTCAGAAATGTTATTTCTTGTTTGATTTTGCAATAGCTCAGTTAGCTTTACAAGACATTGTCTTTCAAACCCTGCCATGCTATATGACTTATAGTTTAGATCAAAATGGAAAACAATGAGGGGTGCAGGGGTTGTCTTCCCCCCACCCCAAACTTGAAGTAACTTCCTTGGTCAGTTTTCATTGTTTTGTTTTGGTGATGGGAGGCTTCATGTATCTGATAATCCTGGATTTGGACTGATTGGGGGTAATTGCCCATCTTCTATCTTGCTTTCAAAGGTACGGCATAGACTGAAATGTTGCATTTGGCAGGTATAGGGTTGGGCTATTTGTTATGCATCTTTGGGGAACAAGAATTGTGCCTGAGAGAAAATGAATCCTAAATTACTATCTTTATGAGTCTTGAGGATGAAACCTTGGAGGTGTTTGGTGATGTATTTATTTCCAATATGCAGTGTTTGGGATTCACAAACTTCATCCCTCCAGGTATTTTAGACTTCAACTCCCACAATTCCTAACAGCTAGTAAACTGGCTGGGATTTCTGGGAGTTGAAGTCCAAAACACCTGGAGGGCTGAAATTTGCCCATGCCTGCACTAGACAGTTAAGTTGAAGTGTGAGGTAGATGCTTCAGGCGATGCTGCCTATTTAAAAACATTATGTTGGGCTGGATTAATAAAGGGCTAATCTGATTCTTCACCGTGGTCCCTGTGTGGCATATGAATGACGTTGCAAAAGCACAGAAGCCCTGTTTAGAAAGTTATAGAGCTCAACAGCTTGGTGAGAGCATCCTTGGCTCCTCCCTTCTATTGCGCGTGTCTCAAACATCAAGTGACTCTTCCCTCAGATTCACTTTGTCCACCGATGAAGAAACTCCCCTTTGGTTCCCCTGCTGCTCTTTAGCACCCAGTCCTCCCTTAATTATTTTCTAAACCCCCTATCTTTAATAATTTACTAATTTAGTTCATCTTTTTACTTGATCGTAAAAAAAACCCAAAATTTATTTCCAGTTTTTTGTTTTGGCTCTTGTACTTTCCCATCCTCTTATGGCCTCTTCAAGCCATTACAAACGCTGCTCCCGGTGCATCCGCAAGCTGCATTTGTGGGACGGGCATTCCGAGTGCCTTTTTTGCCTTGGAGAAGGGCATATTGTCGACGAGTGCTCCATCTGCCAAAGCTTCCTCCCGGAGACACTGAAAAGCAGGGCTTTCCGTCTGAAAGCTTACTGCTGGGAGCAGTCTCTACAAGTGGCCTCTCAAGCGGCAACTAATCAGCCTCTGTATACAGCTTCTGTGTCGATCAACAAGCCTCAAAAACGTCCATTAGTGCCTTTGACCGACTCTCTACCAGTAGCTGTTCCTACTTCGGTACCAACATCCACGACTGACCAAGTGGTTCCCATAACCCCAACACCTGTGGCTAAAGTTGCCAAGTTTGCAGTGCCGCGCAAAGCAAAGGATAAATCTAAACATAGAAAATCAACGCACAAGAAGTGTGATCAACCTGAGGAAACATCAGACTCGGACGAAGACTCTGCACCAGTTTCTCCCTCTCATCAATCTCTCCAATCTTCTACCTGGGAAAGGTCTCCCTTTACTAAGGAGTGATGATATGCATCAACCAGGCAATCTTATCATGACAGTGAATGTGTCTGTCATCTTTCGTGTCGTGTCAGTGATTGTGTCTGTCATATTTTGTGTGGACATCTTACATCAATGAATTACCTTTTCTTCAATTACACAATGACTTACCCACTTTCCTATGGTAAGTTTCTTAGTTGCTCATTTGTGTAAGGCACAGAAACCATGAAGAATAATAGCTTGCTTACCTGTAACTATAATTCTTTGCATGGTCATCTGTGCCCTCACAAACTTACCCTACCATATCCCTTATGGGTCCTTGACACTTCGTTGGCAAATTTCAAAATTGAGGGAGCAATAGCTTGATGCTTGGATGTTCCCAATAGGCCGTTGAGCTGTAGATTTTTCTATATGCAGCTTTTGTACAAGCCCAAGCCTATTTGTGTGAAGGTACAGGTGACTGCTGGAAGAATCTGTTATAATTATATATTTTCCTCTTTGAACTCACCAAAGTTGTTAATGCCTAAGCTGCACTGTTTTAAACTTAAAATTGCATTCATGAAATGCTTTTATATTTCTAGAGTTTGTTATTAATCCCAATGGGAAGTCTGAAGTTTGTATCCTGCATGAATATATGCAACGAGTCCTGAAAGTCCGACCTGTTTACAATTTCTTTGAATGTGGTAAGTGTACAGTCTAATACATTTGATCAGGTAATTTTTATGTGCAGTGTTTATACTTGATTTGATTCTACGGGTATTAGGGAAGTATATAATTTACAGTGCTGCATAAGATTTTCTGTGGAAGTATTTGCATTTCAGAATGTCAACAGGTGCACATTCTTCCTGTTGTAATTCTTTTTTATAATATTTGTAGAATTGTAAAAAGAAAATCTTAGTATTATAACATCCACATATGAGTTTTACTTAATTTTATTTAAATCACTTCCACCCAAACGATTCCCTGAATGGTTTGCAGCTCAGCAAAATCAAAGCAATCAGGTGTATAACCTAAAGTAAAAATAGGAAAGGAAGGGGGGTTGGTGGAGAAAAGGCAAACAAGCAAACTTTGACCTGTTTCTTAAACTTTTAATAGTATGAAATCTGAAATTTAATCACAAAGAAATAGCCTCCAAAACAATATAACATTAAGACATTGATTGGATAACGTAGAGTTTTAGGTTGCAAAATTTAGAGATGTATTCTTAAGAGAAGGGAGAGGGATGCCGGAAATAAGATGGGAAAACTGCCTTTAGCTCTGTTTGTGTTGTCTGTCCTTGTTAATTATATAATTGGTATTGAATGTTTGCCGGTTGTGTGTTCCGTAAGGTGCTCTTAAGTCCCCTGCATCGTGAGAATGGCGGGGTATAAATAATGTAAATAAATAAATAAACTTGTGTCCTCATACTTACAGATTATGTTAAAATTATATCACTTGAGGACTATCAGCATTTCAAAAATTACTTTTGGAGTAGTTCTGTCATATTAAAATAATTCTGAAAATCAGCAATTTTTGTGTAAACATTGTTTTGAACATCTCAATAACAAACATTTAGGGTTTGTTGGATGTAACACAATAAAATGTTATATAATTTTCCCCTTGCCTCTATACAGTTTTCTTCACCCTCATTGACTTACTAGATATTTGTTAAGATTTAATTATCACTATCATAAGTACCTTACCTGCTCTCTTTGCCCTACCATACCCTCTAGAAAAAATATTTGGAAATTATTAATAAAAATCACAAAAAATAGCCCCCAAAACAATATAACATTAAGACATTGATTGGATAATGTAATAATAAATAAAAGAATTCGGGCTTGTTTAGAATCCTGTGCTTTGCAGTTTTTCTTTCCTCCCTCTTTACAGAGAACCCAAGTGAACCTTTTGGAGCCTCAGTTATTATTGATGGCGTCACATATGGGGCAGGAACTGCAAGCAGCAAGAAACTTGCCAAGAATAAAGCTGGTAATATATACATCAGTACTACCTTTTGAATGTTTTTGAGTGATGGCTAGTGCCTATAAGTTGTTGACTATAATTTCCATGCATGATGAAAATAAAATAGGCATGAAGTCCCTGGTTTAAAGTTAGCACTGCTTTTAAAAAAATTAAAAATTCTCTTTCCCATTTAAAATATGTTTTGTGATCATCTGGCTTCTTGAAAAGAAAGATAGACTAGCCGAATAAGTGCTTGCACCAGGATCTTAAGTGTTTCAATGATTTATTTGTATAGCTCGAGCCACACTGGAAATCCTAATTCCTGACTTTGTGAAACAGACCTCTGAGGAAAAGCCCAAAGATAGTGAGGAACTGGAGGTATGGTTTACTATACAGTCCTTTGTGTGGTTACTTGGCAGTTGGGTTTGCATGCATACTATGCATACAGGTTTTCAATTTAATGGGATCTGATCTGATGTTCTATCTACTATTACAAAATGTCATACTGCTGATTTTATTACAATCAGCCCTCTGCTGGGGTTTGGGGCACAGGTGCCTTTCTTATTCTTTCTCTCATCCTACCTTTAAAAACCATCTGTCCTTCCAGTATTTCTTAGTAGTTTTTAATTTTAGACTTGTAAAATCTTCAAATGAGAATCGGGCTAACCCACCTTTTTTCCACCTTGATGGCTTCGTCTAGATCCTTGGGTTAGGAAGACTATTACAAGGGAGGGATATGGGAAGGTGGTGGTAGAAGTTAATACACCATTCTATACGAAGCACATATATTTCAAGTAGACAAACATAGGATTGTACTTCAATTATTTTAACCAGAATTTGATGGCTGTGTCTTTTTGTAAAAATGGAAATGTTCTGTTTTGAATGGCTATGCCTTAAAATACCTGCAAGCTGTCTAGCTAGCCATCTATATCCATAGATTCTGCATTTAAAATATTCCCCAGTCCCAAAAGCAAACCTTGATTTGGCAATATTATATAAGGAAAACATCCTGGAGCCAAATCCCAGCAGATGCCTAGGACTCACTGTATATCCAAATAAAACTTTAAAGATGTTTGGATATAACATTTAAGTATCTCAAAGACTACAGATAGGTGTTCGACCGTTAAATGACAACATGCCCATTTTGTTGCAGTATTTCAACCATATCAGTATTGAAGACTCACGGGTATATGAACTGACCAGTAAAGCTGGACTTTTATCTCCATATCAAATCCTTCATGAGTGCCTTAAAAGGTAAGCCTGAATGCTTACCTTTTATCAATCAGGAGATGGTCTTAAACCACAGTTTTTGTAATACTGGGTGCTAGGAGGAAAACCTTTTAGTAACGCCTTGATTATGTTAAGAATCATATCCGTTCTTCCATTTTTCCATTGGGGAAGTCGGTGTCAGACTCGAGGGTTGAAGACAGCTTTAACTAGGAATTGTTTGGTGTTTAAAACGCAGGTGCCTGCTTGTGTCTGCTTTGTGGGCATAATACGAAATATCTGGCTTAATAATAGTAATAATTTGTAGACCATGCAGCATATAATGCATTCTGTTATGTGCAAGTACAATGAATACTTCTGGGAGAGGTCAATAGTTTGGTTATTTCCCCTCGAAGGGCTCGCTTTTAGTTTTGCTCACATTGTAGTATAGTCACAAATGAGAATGGGGTTTAGTTATGAATAGTTCAGCCAAATTACTTTAGAAGGAATAGCCAAGCATGGGACTGTTGTGATTCAGACATGCTTAGGTTTAGATAAAATATCTATAGTTTATTTCTATGCATATATTAGAGCTACAGATTTTTGGGAGGCCTGTCCTTTTGTTGAACAGAACTATCAAAACTTCATGTTTTCAGTAATGTTGAGTAGAATATTATAAATACTTTTCCACCATAGAGAGAGTTATATCAGTCCAATGTCTTAGGCTTTTCTATTATTGGTGCCAAACCTATTTTAATTTACATCGAGAGCAAGCAACTGTGTAGAAGGACAGAAGATTGATGTTGGATCATTTTCAGTTCCAAGGAGTGATGTAAATATATTTGAGTGTTAATATTGGGAAGGTTAGCATACAAACTGCCATGTTTTTGTGGTGTCTTGAGTGGTTTTTGAATTTTTTAGATGCAGTTTTAAAATATAGGAGTCTATTATTATTATTATTATTATTTATTTATTTATTTATATCCCACCTTTCTCCCCATGGGGACTGAAGGCAGCTAACATCTGTTCACACTAAATAGTTTAAAAAGAGCAAGACAAGAGTTAAAAAACAAATAATAACAGTGTGATAAAAACAGAATTAAAATAGAGAAAATGCATTAAAATGGCCTTTGAAACTCATATTCCACCAACCCTCCCCAGAGCCTCCCCTTATCCAAAAACCTGTTGGCAGAGGAGTCAAGGGGCTTTGGAGTTAGATAACATAGCCCAAAAAATGTCTTCGTATCTTGGTTTTTGGGCCTGTTCTGGGCTTATTTGGGGCACTGATTCAGAAAATGGCATTGACTGAACCACAGCCGCTCTATAATAATGATAATCATCTTTATTTTTAACCCGCCCTCTCTCCCTGAAGGGGCTGAGGGCGGCTTCCAAAGGTGAAAAATAGCAAACATTCAATGCTGTATGCAATAACACAATAAAAATTATAACAGAAAGTTAAAAACAAACAAATTAAACACCTTGGCTCAAACATATAAATCAGTCAAGCATAATAAAAAAACACATTGAACAGTTAAATATCTATAAAAATATAAAAATGTAGCTCTTTAATAGGTTAGGGTAGTCTCTTAGTCCCTTAGATGGGGTTATCATGCTTTAAGATAAAGATACTCATGGTATTCTCTCTGTCCTTAAGAAATCATGGCATGGGTGACACATCCATAAAGTTTGAAGTAATTCCTGGTAAAAATCAGAAGAGCGAGTATGTCATGACATGTGGGAAACATACTGTGCGTGGCTGGTGTAAGTATGGCATTTTCTTTGGGAGAAATCTTGTTACTTGTAATTGGTTTGCATTATCTAGCTGGCAGCTGATTTAGGGTTTTCCCAGATCTGTCTTTTGTGTTCATCCTTTGTATTGTGTTTACACAGGCTCAATGGCCACAAGGTCCTCATTACTTTTAGGACATGTTTCCAGCAAGGGAGGGAACATTAGTCTGCAACCTGATAAGCCGAGCCTCCTGTAACAACATTTTAACTCCATCTGATGGAATGGTGGAATTTGTAGTTTGGTGAGAAACATAGAATCCCTGACGCTCACTTGAATTGGAGCTTTTTGGCAGAGAAGCTAAAGCCTCTCCCCAAACTAGATCACAGGATTTGATAGGAAACAACCTTGACAATTTAAGTGGTATCAAATTGTTATAAATGTGTAGTGTGGCTAAACCTTTGGATGCTGACTTAATCAAGGAGGAAACCATAAAAACAAACAAAATCTGGCTACCAGTATTTAAAAACTCTAAAATCAGGACAATAAATAAAGAGCAACACTAAAAAAACAAGGGAATTCCAGACAGGAAACAATCAGGGCCAGCTAACACTACCCAATAAAGGATTCCCCAGGCAGGAAGCAGCCAGGCTTTGAAGCTGTAAGGTCATTAAATGTTTGCTATAGATGCCTTGGAGAGTTCTGAAATGATGTTTTAAAAGTTTGGTTTGCATTATTTTCATATTCCATTTGATTTCTCCGTTGTGGATTAGACAGGGAAAAATTCTGAAGATTTGACGCTATTGGGAAAAACGTTTCTCCTGTTTTTCTTCCTCTAAAGAAGAAACTTTAAATAATTTCCAAATGCAATATTCATCCTTTTTACAGATTGAAAATCACTTTGTTACTCTGTTATGCACATGATTTGGCATAAAATCACGATGCTTCATGTATTAGCAGTTTGTTCAGGTTATACAACTTCTGTCAAATTAATTTCTTGTTACATCTCAGCTGTAAGAAACTTCTTTAGTTTTTGCCACTTCAAGGAGCAGCCAAAAAAAAAAACCCCAACACTAAAAACAGAAGAAGCCATCAACATTAGTAAAACAGAAAATTCACCAATTCTCCATAGTGTCAGACAGACAGAATTGCACTAATCCTCATAAAAAGAACAGAAAAAGCAAACCAACACTAGGGATTGTGTAACCATGCATGTAAGTCTTCCTCCTACATAGTTTTTAGCAGACGTTTGAGCAGGCGTTTGAATAGGCAGTGTAACTAATATAGAAATATGGAACAATTGGATGACGAGACTGGATCTTGATTTCAACTATGAGACAATATGAGATGTTGATGTTTATTGATTGTTATAATTGTTATTCTTAAACTGTTTCACTGTTTTTATCATGCTTTATGTATTGTATTGTTGTTGTGAACCGCTCTGAGTCGCCCTGAGGGCTGAGAAAAGCGGTATAAAAATGCATACAAATAAATAAATAAATTTTTAGAAATGGGTTTTGGGGCAATAAATATATGAAAACCTTGTGTTAAACGTTTATAAATCAAGTTAAAAGAAAATGTATATATCTTGGTTGCTGTGAGTTTTCCGGGATTTATGGCTATGTTCCGGAAGCATTCACTCCCGACGTTTCACTCACATCTATGGTAGGCATCCTCAGAGGTTGTGAGGTCTGTAGGAAACTAGGCAAGGAGGGGTTTGTATATCTGTGAGACGATGTCTAGGGTGGGAGAAAGAACTCTTGTCTGTTTGAGGCAATGTTACAACTGGCCACCTTGATTAGCATTTAATGGCCTTGCACCTTCAATGCCTGACTGCTGCTGCCTGGGGGAATCCTTTTTTGGGAAGTGTTTTATGGTTTTTTGTTGAAATTGTCCATGTTTGTGGATTTCAGTGGCTTCTCTGTGTAGTCTGACTTGGTAGTTGTTAGAGTGATCCAGTGTTTCTGTGTTCTCCAATATTCTGTGTCCCGGTTGGTTCATCAGGTGCTCTGCTATGGCTGACTTCTCTGGTTGGATTAGTCTGCAGTGCCTTTTGTGTTCCAGACAGGAAACAATCAATGCCAGCTAACACCTCCCAATTAAGGATCCCCCCAGACAGGAAGCAAGCCAGGCTTTGAAGCTGCAAGGCTATTCAGAGCTAATCAAACTGTCCAATGGCAACATCCTGGACATTATTCCACAGAGATACATATAAACCCTACTTGCCCCAGTATCCAACAGATCTCACAGCCTCAGAGGATGCATGCCATAGATGTGGGCGAAACGGAATATGGAATATGGCCATACAGCCTGGAAAACTCACAGCAGCCCAGTTATTCCGGCCATGAAAGCCTTTGACAACACAGTGTAAATATCGTAACCCAGTTTTCCCAGAACCTCATATCCCTAGCTAAGTGATGTTAAATCAACTTTTTTTGCTGCAGAAATATTAGCAATGAAATACGAGAGCCAATACAGTAGCTAAACTAGACATGGGTGCAAAATACTATTTAGTATGTGAACCTGACTTTAAGACTTTGTTTCATGGCGATTTTAGGTAAGAACAAGAGAGTGGGAAAACAGTTGGCTTCTCAGAAAATCCTTCAGTTGCTGCACCCCCATGTCAAAAATTGGGGCTCTTTATTGCGCATGTATGGAAGAGAGAGCAGTAAAATGGTCAAGCAGGTAAGAGTAATGTCTTGCAGGCTACTTAAATGCCTTTGTTTGCAACAGTCGGATTCTGTTGTTCATTCTCCCATCACCGCCTGAAATAGTAAAACTGCCTTGGTTTTAAGTTTAATGGGTTTTAATTGATTTTACATAGTTCTGTGTAGTAACCAGTTATTATGATTTCTTTGTGTCCTGTATGTTGGCGTTGAAATTTTGTCATTAGTATGTTGTAAACCGCCTTGAGTCCCCCTAGGGGTGAGAAAGGCAGAATGTAACTACAGTAAGTAAACGAATAAATAAAGTTTCATGGCTCCTGTCTTGCAAAGGAATGGATGAACTGACCACTGAAATGAACTTGCATAACAGAAAGAATTACATGATGGTGTTTTCAGAAATGATCTTAATCCTGGTGAAAATGAAGACGTTCAGTTGAGCACTCTTCATTTCTTTTTGCAGGAGACTTCTGACAAAAGTGTGATCGAACTTCAGCAGTATGCCAAAAAGAACAAGCCAAATCTCCACATACTGAATAAGTTACAGGAAGAAATGAGAAAGTTGGCACAGGAAAGGGTGAGCGGTTGCTTATGGCCATGCATTGCTGTTCAGTGCTGAGAACACTGAAAGTCAGTGATGGTTTTGTCTGGCAAACTTCTTTCCTGATTATTGCTACTTAAACATGTGTCAGATCTATGTGAGTACTATGACATTTAGGTATAGTTTTTTTCCCTTTTTATATAATTTTTTCTCCGCTTGTTTGAGTCGATGGTGTCAGTAGGTCCCCAGCTTCTCACATTGACGGTTGATTTTTTTGTTTGGTGAGTCGTTACATTTGCTCACATGGCCTTGTGTTATTAAGACAACTCAGATTGCCTTACTTCTGTGGAAAGGATGGGATACTTTGCCTGGTGTCTCTTTCTTTCCAGAAAGAATGTTCCAATTTTCTATGGCTCGAGATATCATCCATTTTGCAAAGCCATCCCCATCATTGTCTTTTGCATCCATTGCACTGTTCAGGCTTTCTGAAAAGCTAGTTGTCTGTTACTTTATGAGAGTTCTTCCAAATTTCCTATGAGAGATTTGTTAAATGGGTAGTGGAGGCTATCAAGGTGGCTTACAAACTTGTTTATGAACTTGTTTACATCACAGTTGACTAGGTATATATCACACTAGCGTATCTACCCGGTGTTGCCTGGGTGTTGGAGGGGCCTCTGTCCCCTGCTTCCATCCCTTCTTTCTACCCTCCCCTCATATCTTTTCACCTTTACTTTCTCTTCCTTTCCTGTTTTTTTTCTCTCCCTCCCCTTCCTTTGAAGGTCAACTTCACTTTATTACTGTCAATGAGAAGAGTTCTGCACAAACACATCAGGTCTAAGGGTCGAGAGATTCAAAACTTTAAAACTTTAGAACTTTAAAATAAGTGCACCCCAATCCCCTCCCTTCGGACTCCCTTCCCTTTTAATTCCATTAATTGTGTTGGGCTCTGATGTACTCCTGTATATGGCTTTTGGCCTAGATTCTTGGGTTACTTGTCTTGATTTCCATGGCAATGGTGCCCTTCCTTTCATTCTCTTCTTTTTATCTTGCATCCTTTTCTTCTCCCCTTTCTCCTTTCTCCTGCTTTGAGAAGGCTTACCTTTCAATGTTGCCTCCATAGCAACATGGCTGTCTTTGGGCTCTTCCCCCCCCCCCCCCCACACACACACACATCACCTTTCTGTCTCAGTAATATCACCAAGGGCCGCTTCACCTAGCAGCTCCCTATGTGATACAGACAGACCTTGACTTTCCCATATATACAGGTTTCTATTTTGACCACGAACCTGGCTGATGCTTCCATTTGCTGGGTGGTCTTGTACTCTTACTTGACATGGAAAACATCCCCAACTCTTGTGTGCATCACAGAAATCATGAAGTGATAGTTGTGCCACCTTTAACTGTTGTTCATTGGTGGCCATTTTGGAGCTTACACAACCCGCCCTCCTCCCCTTTTTCCATACTTCCGCAAGTAATTTCTAGTGGTGGATTAGGAACTGAGAGGAATATGGTGCAGTTGCACCTAGCGTTCCTTTTGGTTTCCACCAAAATGTTCTGATCATGGCTGTGTGTCAGGAGGAAGACCCATGTATGTTCACCAAAGAACTTCAGGTAAATGATCTGTTCCTGTTGTTTTGTGCAAAGAATCCATTTTATCAAGACAAGTTAGGGAGAGGCAGATGATGATAATAATATTATAATTCCTTAGTTTGTCTCGCAATTGGGATATCATATGGCTGTGCATCCCAAATCCTGAATTTCTGTTTTTAAAATGTTGATTCTCTTGCATAGAGCACATTAATGTACGGTGATACTTGACTTCTTGTGTTTTTTAGGAGGAAACCCGAAAGAAACCCAAGATAACAATTGTAGAATCCGCTCAGCCCGGCAGCGAGCCCTTGTGCACTGTTGATGTGTGACCAGGAAGCGTAATCATTGGGGAGCAATAACACAAGTGAAGGAAACTGGCTTTCCCGACACCTTAAGAAATCGATTTTGCCTCTGAATGCAAAATAACAATCCAGACCGCTTCAAATATGCATTGTTTGTTTGCATCGTTAGGGCAATAGTACTGAACTTCACCTTTTGTTAATCGTGTGCATTTATTCAAGGGAATGATCAGTGTGTTGGCCAGGCTTGTTGGCACAAGATAAGCAAGCACTAACCCCCCCCCCCCCCCTCCCCAGCAGTATCCATACTGTTTCTAATGGATGTGCCTGGAATTGATTATAAATGTATAGTATAGGAATATTGCTGAACACTTTCTTACGTGGTTATGCTGACAACCTTTTTTCCCTCCCATATCCTAGTCCAGGATAATATGCACTGTAAGACACTTTCGATAGCTACATTGGGGGGAAAAGTGTTCCTTAGCATCATGAAGGTTAAGCCAGTAGTATTGGCTAATTGATGAACTTTGGCAGTCATAGGATTTTAAAGAACTATCCTGATACACTAACCTCCTTTAGACAATAAAATGAACACGTGGCAATATTGAGCACCAAAGTGTCCCCCCTTTAATTACTGGGTCTCTTTCCTTTTGAATGCAGGAGTGATGAATGTTTACATGCAAGGCGAATGAAAGAGTAGGCACGATGCAGTGGACCTTGGGTTCTCCGTATAGGAGAGTCTTCCACAACATTCACCACAGTCAGAGCTTTAGGGACACCCCTAGTTACTTTTAAGCTAGTGTGAAAACACACTGATAAGTCCAATAACTAAAACAGCATCTTTCCAACAGATTAAATATTATGGATGGAGCTGGGAGACATCTAGATGGATAAGTTGTATCTTCTTATTACTGCCTCAGGATTGCAGAATGATCTGTTTTCCTTAAGTAGTCTCCAGCTCTGCTCCCAAGTTCCTTCCCTTTCCTCAAAAGCTCCCAGTTCATGAATAGGCGCATTTCAGCCACAGTTTTCATCCCCTGGACCATTTTAGGCCCAGCAGGTACTTTTTTTTAAAACAGGAAGCAGCTAGGCTACTGCAGCCCCCTAGCCTTCCACTGATGCCCACTTTTGCCCTGAACTAAGGTTCACTCATGGAGAAATGCTGCAATTTACTGGAGTATGTGCAGGCATTTTTTTTAATCTTAGACAGTATAATTCCTTTACAAGCTATCCAGAATATTTGGAATTCAAAATTAACTATAGGAAACAAAAGAAAGCTATAAGCATCACCAGTAAGAATAGATTTTCATACCACTCCAGCAAAGATACGGCTTTTATGCAAGTATGTCTTTCACCTATACAGTGGGCTCTTGGTATCTGTTGGTGTTTCGTTTCAGGAGACTCAAATCCATGGATGCTCAAGTTGCATTATATACAGTGCCGTCCCTTATATAAAATGGCAACATCATGGTTTGCCTTTGGGATAAATGGATAAGGAGAGCCAACTGTATATGAAGACAAGACTACAAGCAAACACAAGTTACATTTTTTAGGCAAGATATAATAAAAAATAAAATAGATCTGATAGCAGGGGAAGCACGGATTTTCCAGCAAGGAGAAGGTGGCCCTTTCTTAGCTTGATTATTGTGTGCCTTCAAATCATTTTTGACCTGTGGGGATCCTAAGGTGACCCTATCACCGTAGAGGCGAGGGTGTCTCTACCTGGGCTTTTCAGTGCAATTTCACCACTATTAAAATTGCATGGAGTCATAGAATCATGGAATCATAGAGTTGGAAAAGACCTCATGGGCCATCCAGTCCAACCCTATTCTCCTAAGAAGCGGGAAAATTACATTCAAAGCACTCCCGACAGATGGCCATCCAGCCTCTGTTCAAAAGCCTCCAAAGAAGGAGCTTCCACCACACTCAGGGGCACAGAGTTCCACTGCTGAACAGCTCTCCTTACATTTAGGAAGTTCTTCCTAATGTTCAGGTGGAATCTCTTTTCTTTCCTGTAGTTTGAAGCCATTGTTCTGTGTCCTAGTCTCCAGGGCAGCAGAAAACAACCTTGCTCCCTCCTTCCTTTGACTTTCTCTCATATATTTATACATGGCCCTCATCATGTCTTCTCTCAGCCTTCTCTCCTGCAGGCAAAACACGCCCAGCTCTTTAAGGTGCTTCTCATGGTTTTAAAGACTTTGAATGACAGCCCCCCCCCCCCCAGCTTACTTTCAATAACTACCACATTTCTTCAATTTTAAGACACCTTTGATGATAAGACACATCCTAATTTCAGTGCCACCTCCACCATAAATATCGGATTTTCTGGCGTATAAGACGACCCCCTAGAGTGAGCCCAGGGCTGGGTCCAATGTCCTTTCCACAACAACTACAGAATTCTAGAATTGGAAAGGACTCCAATGGCCATCCAGTCTAACCCTAATTCTGCCAGGCAGGAACACACATCCAAGCCCTGATAGGTGGTCATCCTGCTCTGCTTAATAATAACAATAACAATAGTAATAATGGAACCCTAGAATTGGAAGGGACCCCAATGGCCATCCAGTCTGACTCCAGTTCTGCCATCCAAACCCTCCCAACAGGTGGCCATACAACTGCTTAACAACAACAACAACAATAGAACCCTAGGTTTGGAAGGGGCTCCAATGGTCATCCAGTCATACTCCACTCCTGCCAGGCAGGGAGACACCATGCAAGCCCTCTCAACTGGTGTCCACCCAGCTCTGTTTAATGATGATAGAACCCTACAGTTGGCAGGACCTCCGGCCCACCCCAATGTCTTCCAGGAAGGATACGGAGCCTGCAAGGGGTGGATGGGAGGTGGGGGCAGGGAGAGCAGGGGCGGAGGAGGTCCTCCCGGTTGCTCTGGCCCCACCCCTCCCCCGGTTGTTCTGGCCGTGCCTCTCCACCCCACCTGCCACTGCCCCTCCCCTGGCTCATGGCGAAGCAGAGCCAGCACCAGGCTGGTGCCGGCAGGGACCTGCTGCTTCTTTCTGCCCCTCCTTTCCTCCCTTCTCAGACCGCGCCACTCAGGGACGCCAAGGGCAAGGGACCCCACTGCTGCTCCTGCAACACCCGCCATTTAAGACAACCCTCAACTCTGGAGATTTCCCTGGGTTAAAAGTCATCTTATATGCCGGAAAAATCGATATGTATGATCCACCTGCGATTCTAAGACATACCCCATTTTTAGAGATATTTCTATAGGAAAAAACTCTGTTATAATTGAAGAAATACAGTCCTAATTAAGCGTAATAAATATTTCCCTTTTTTTCTCTTACAAGACAGCTCATAAATATGTGAAAGGGTGATGAATCATGCACTGAAGCTTTGGCTGGACTTGCTTAGTAGGGGTTTGGACAGATTCATTTTCCTCATTATTTTTAATGATCCATTTCTCATATCCTCACTTTTGGCAGCAATCTCTGGATGTTTAGCATGGCGTTTTAGCAGTATTCCCATCTCGGTGGCCACAATCCTTCATTGCCATGGCGTAGTATACGTATCCATTGGCAGAGTTACACTAGACTCGCTCTACGCAAGGCTGATACAAGACAGTACCATTTGACAATGGATGTTCAGCTGTGGGTACCTTTCTGCAACTGCAGGTCCACTCTCAGCTGACTGCAGCCCTTGTGCAATGTCAGCATAACAACAGTGCATGCGTTCAGCGATTTACGCTTGCATATATCACGAATGATATGTCTTCCAATACTTCTTGTATGCCTGCGGAAATTAGTCTTTCCAGGAGTCTATCTACTTCCAGCAGTACCAGCTAAGCCATATCTGCCATGTTGTCTTCCCCAGATGCTGTATGTTTAGACATTTCATAGAATCCTAGACTTAGATGAGACCCCCCCCCCATGACCATCCTGTCCAACCCCATTTTTCCAGACAGGGAGACACAACCCAAGCCCTCCTAACAGATGGCCATCCAGCTTTTGCTTAAAAACTTCCACGGAAGGCAGAAATGTATGTCACCCATAGACCCTTACTTACTAGGGGGCAAGTTGTGTCCCCATCCCACCCTAAATGTCTTACAGCTCCACCCAGATAATGGTTATTGGAACTCAAAATGAGATCCCTTTGGAGGTGCAATGGAAGAATCCAGACCCCACTTGTTCAATGTGGCGTCCTCCTGCTCCTACAATATTAAATCATGTTTATTGACATCCTTTTGGTGAATTATGATGGGACAAGTCCAGAGTTACGGCATCACCGCTTATTTTTATGGTTTTTGCGGAGGTCAGAATCTTGCTCTGAACCATGCAGTGACCAAAATCCTTCCAAAACCGCCTTGTAAGCAGAGTAGCCCATTCAACACTGCCACTTCCACATTGTTGAAGAACAGGGAGATGAGTTGCAATGTATCTTGCTATTATGCTGTCGCAGTGTGTTTTGGAGGGTCACTATCTAAAGAGAGCTTGCAAGGACCCAGGAGGTCTCTGGCAACGCCTGTCAGAGTGTGTCCAGCTGCAAGAAAACAGCTGGATTCATCCTGCTCTCCAACAACACAGAAATAGTTTGTGTGGAGTGGGGCTGCACTGCTTATAAGGTTAACTTTGGATATAGGTAGCATTGGGGGATGCAGCTATGTAGTATATATATATGAGTGTGTGTGTCTCCTGATCCAGGATCTTGATCATTTATTTATTTGCGGTATTTGTATACTGCCCTTCCCAACTCCAAAGGGAACTCAGGGCGGTTCATAGTGTTCCAGAGAAGTGGTGAGGCCTTCCTCATACTCTGTCCAACAATTCTGAACTGATGTTGCTCTAGTAATGTATTCTGTGCTTTATAATGGGCAAAAGGAGGGCAGAGCTGAAAATTATGTAGAGAACCAGAGCACACATTCCTTGCCTTTATGAGTGGCAATGCTCCTTCCAGATGCCTCCATCTTGCCACCATGGTAAATCCTCGTAGCCCAATTTCTTGTGTTATTAGTCTTAAAAACCCTATTCCTATTGGAGATTGGTAAACGTCACTGGGGTAATTTGAGCATGTCTTTAAAGCTTTTCACTAGTGAGTAGTTTCTGCTGTGCATATTATTGGAAATATTAGAAAATAAACCAGGAGACGTCAGGAAGATCTTCAATAGGTTTTGCAAATGGTACTGTTAATCCAATACAAAAGAGCTAACCATTTTAGAGCTGCAGACAGGAGTCCCTTTTCTGAAATACCTCTGAATATAATGTCTGACAGAGGACATGGAAGGAAAGTAAGGCGTCAGGAGGTAATTGTTACTTACATCTTTTCCATTATATTGCTGAGCTGCTTACTGTATCTACTCATGTATAAGTCAAGGGCAGGTTTGGGGTCCAAAATTATGGATTTTGATATGATGTGTGGATAAGAAGGGGATGGTTCCCCTTTTTAAATAAGCATTCAGGTGCAGTACTCACATTGACCTGTGCATAAGCTGACCCAGCTTTTGGGTTGTTGTTGTTTTTACTAAAAAATTCTAGATGTATACATGAGTATATACAGGGTAGTTAGAAATGTTGATAAACATGAAGGGGGACATTTGTAAAGTGATAACTTAGCTGTAGGCTACCTATAAATTTTTGGTAAGCCAATTCTTTATCTTACCGAGGGCACATTTCACCATCTAAAATAAAACTCGGGAAACTGTAAGATATGGTTTAGATCTTAAGAGTTGGGAGGGATCCCAAGGTCCATCCAGTCCAACCCATCTTCTGCTAGGTAGGAAAACACAACTGAAGCACCCTTGAAAAGATACACATTCAATTGTTTAAGGAACACCAAAGGAGAGTTCACCATCTTCCAAGGCAGCCTCTTCCACTGTCACCAATCTTCCTAATGTTTAGGTGGAATCTCTTTTCTTGTAATTTGAATTCATTGATGTGTGTTCATGTGCTATCTTTTTCATGACATCCCTTCAGATGTTAAAAACACATGCTCTTGACAGGCCACGCTCCTAGTCAGGTGAACATAACTGCTTAGCAAGTGGTTGTTTTAATTGACCTGTATTTCTTAACACTCGGTACTGGAGTGTACAATGTCTTCATAGGATATTATTTGTAATAAACCAGCATACGGGAAACCAAATGCAATGAAATGCCTGGAGTGATATTGTACTGTATTTCTCTTCTGAACCAGAGGAGGCAAATTACTGGAAAGCTGTCAGCTGTAAGCCTGTTTTTACTGTATCATGCATAGCCCTCGTAGTCTTGGCAGGAACCGTGTGCGCTAACATTGTGACTCGCAGCTACTACTATTTGGCTTTTTAGAATTCCGGTTTTCATTAGAATACTTGCCATGCCCTGCAATGCATTTTCTCTTTTAGAACATGCTTCAGTGCAGCTCTCTGGAGGACATGATTTTGAATTCATCATTGTTCTAAATGCACTGCCTCTGTCTGGCTTAAGTCTGTATCTTTTTACATAACTGATGCAATACTAAAAAGTTACAGGCTTCCCTACCTTTTTGAAGGTGTTTACATCTATATACCAGTTCATATTTGCAGGAAAAAAGTCTTTTAATGGTACCCATTTGTCTTTCCACTTCAGAGCAGGCAAGATGCAGCCCTCTAGC